CCCCCCCCCGCCCTATCCTCCCGCCTGCTGTGCCGCCTGCTCTGTTCTCAGTAACCCGGAGCAAATGGCGGAGGCGCAGCGAGAGGCGGTGGAAGCGAGCGGCTTCAAGCCGCGCTCGGGCAAGCAGAACGCTCAGATCGGCCTCAGGGGTTTCACCCAGGTGATTTACTTTGTAGGACGCGCTCGGTGGTTGTGATCTACCGTTTCGGCCTTCCAGCCTGCCCGATTTGTGTACCGCGGCGAGACTTCGTGTGCGAAGGCACACGCAATGCGCCAGCACCGAAGAACCTCTTTCGCACGAGGTTCGGTTCTTGATTGCGCTGCCGGGTGTCTAAAAGCCAACAGCGACTAGGCTAGACATGGGTTTCAGTGCAAGATTTTCAACACCTGTTCTTGTGGTCGAATTAGTAAGAATGCCGGAATTTCTTATCTTTTTTGCAAGTTGGTTTGGTGGCAGGTCGTACTGTGAGAGCATGCACAGGGGATTACGTTCTTTCGTGACGGTACGATCTATTGACAGAAGTACTACCCATATACATGGGCCGTACATCGACCATGAGCCGATTCGGCCTACGTTGCTGTGCCCCGACTTAGCTTGCCGGTGGAGTGCGGGGCGCGAACCCATCGAAGAGAGGCAGGTGTACCCCTCACCCCTCATGCTTGGTGGAGTCTTGTTGTCCGAAATACGTGAGGCATGGACGAGCGCCAGCATTCGAGTTTCATCCAATTCTGTTTTATCATGTACTCCGTGGTAGGTTAAGATGCACAAGGATGCTTGCCCGTCACGTATATCGTTGTATTCGGCCACATGCAAAACAAATGCACATGTACGCAACGCACCAAACGCGCGCGCATCCGCTTCGATCTTGGGTGTTTTCGTCTTCGGTCCGAGCCTGCGTTGACCGCTCTATCACGGAGCCTCTGCAGAACTCGGTAGAAATTTTTGGAAGGACTTTATTTCGGTGTGTGCGCGTGTGTTTCGTTTTTGTCTGCTTTCTATATTGTGTCTGACGGTGCATGACCACGAGCTGCAGTTGGGGCCTCCGTTGTCAATTGTTTACTTCGAGTCTTACAAACACGCATGACAAACTTCAACATCAACACCAAAAACAATACCAACAACAGGCGACCCAGAACCCGGCCATGTTCAAGGACGCGATGAGCATGCTCGGAGACCCCTCGGCGGTGAAGGAGGCGGAGGCGATGATGAACGACCCGGAGTTCAAGTCGGAGATCAACCAGTACATGGAGACGCTTAAGAACAACTCGGCCTTTCGCGATGCCATGGCCGAGGCCCAGCGAAAGTACCAAGTGGGTGGGGTGGTGACGTTTTTTTGTTCTTGGAGAACGGGAGAGGTATCTTTGGGGCGTTTTTGAGCAACCGATACACCCTTCCCAAATCCACGGTTTGGTGGATACGCTCAAGTGAAATAATGAACATTTTGTTCGCACCACGTTTTTTCTTTGGGACGGGAGGGTTCACAAGCGGCAACGGGGAGTCCTGCTATCAGTGCGCAGTCGGGGAGAAGCAAGGTCTTGACGGTTCCAAACCCTCACAATGATACGTCCCACCATCAACCCGACAACAAGCACCCCAAACCGCACAACATGGAAACATGTGCTTGCTGAATAACACCAACAGCACTAGCATCAGTATCACCAGGTACAACTTACAACAGCCACCCGCAAATAAATTCGATACGCCACCACCAGCAGCAACACGCTATGCACCGCAACCACCGACACCTTTCTGCAACGGCAACTACCTTGAATTTATTCCACACACTTATTTCGTAATATTACTCGAAGGCATGGTGCATTTTTGTTTTGTTTTCTAGTGTAGAATGACAGCTCTGTGCTTTGTCGTCAATTTGCGCTATAGTTTGTGATAGGGGAACTCCGTATTGACGAAGTTACACTATATTCCAATTTGGTCTTGACTACTATGTTCCACCGTAATACCATGAATTTATTCGACAGGCTCTGCTGGCGGACCCCGAGAAGATGAAGCAGGCGACGGACAAGTACAACGCCTTGATGAAGCAGCAGCAGGACGCCGCAGCGGCGGGGACGCCGGCAGCAGCAGCAGCGGGGGGTGGCGGGGGAGCGGCGGGGGCGACGGGGGCGACGCAGGCAGGGAAGGAGGCGGCGGCGGGGGGGCAGGACGACGGCGAGCCGCCGGTCCCCGAAGCGGGAGCGGAAGAAGAGGAAGAGGAGGCCCCCGCGGAAAAGGTGAGTCTTGAATGCCTTCAGTACAGCGCTCTTTTGATTTTTGCTCTTTCATGTGTGTGTGAAGGTGTGTGTGAATACCCACACTACCCTCTCTTGTTCGCCCTTTTTGTGTGTGTGTGAAGGTGAGAGTGAACGCGTGCACAGCACCCTTCTGTTTTTGGGTGTGTTACGGAGGGTGAGAATGCCCACAGTACAGCACCTTCTTTGTTTTGCTCTCTTGTATGTGTGTGTGGAAAGGTGGGTGTGAATGACTTCAGCACGTTCTCTGATATTTGCTCCATTGTGTGCATGTTTTTGTCACCGAAACGCCTTCATTCTGATGCATATGCACAAGGTTCTTTTTCAGAGGAGTAGTGTCTTGTCTCCCGGAAGCGGCGCAAGAGGGCATGGTCAATGACGCCACGGATTGCAGTGCCTGAATAATGCCGTGTCATCACAGGGCACGTTACACAAGTGCAGGGAACGCGCCAGGAAGCAAAAAAAAAAAAAAGAAAAGGAATCATTTTAGAAATATTTTTTAGTGCCACCAGCGCAGTGACCTTCGCAACCGATTCTCGCACCCACCTGGCACTGCAACCTGTGGCGTCATCAACCATGCCCTGCTGCGCCGCTTCCGGGAGGCAAGCCACTTGCCCCCAGAAGCAAAGCCTTGAACAACGGGCTCTGCGATGGCAGGCATTGTCGTAAGGTCCCTTCATTCCTTCGCAGAATCGGTCTCTCAAGTGTACGACACGCAGAAGCTGGCATCACCAGCGCGTGACTTGGCGTGGGTTTCTTGCACCCGCCCGACATGCGTACGCTTGACGAGGTCTGAGCATGCGCGGTGATGTGCCGACGAGTTTGTGCGTGCCCCTGAGAAGGAGCCGTGGCAATAGAGATTCGCTACCTCCAGAGGAAGATGTTCCGGGACACCGATCACATCGCAATGATAAAAACACATTACGCAAATACGCCGGACACGAACAGGTTTCCCTTCAAAGGCAAAGTACAAATCCACATCTATCGGTACACAAATGTCCCATGAGAGGGTCATGATGTGATTTTTTTTCTTTTTTTTCGTGTCGACACTGTGCCGGTTCAGGCACAGATTGTGAATGGAAACCTGTGCCTTCGAGATCGCTCAAGCCGAAAACTGAGTCACAGATTTGCGAGCGAGTAGCATGTTTTGGCCGCGGAATTCAACACGAAAAAAAAACAAAAAACGCCCCTATGGAAGAAATTCTCCAGGAACGACTAGAATGGTCCCTTAACTCGTGTAGCAGAGAGATGCTGTCGACTGAACGGGCCAATTCAGAATAGTGGTTTTAGCAACCCTTCGTTAAGCGCTGCGCTCGTTCGGTCGAAGCCTGAACGGGTACCTCAGCCTTTAAGCGGCAGTCGGTTTCAAGTTGCGAGCTGGTGCTGCGTATTCTGTTGATGGATGCATACGTGCTTCTTGTTTGTTCGTGAAACCTTATCTCTGTCTGGAGGCCTGCTTCGCGTTGATTTGCAGCAGCGGTAGCAGCAGTTTCTTGGGGTGTCTTTTCTGCGTCCACAAGACGACTATTATACGTCGCGTGTAGTGGGTAGGCACGCTTGAGGTGCCACCCCTCTGCCCCGCGCGGACTGCTGTTTCTCCGGTCTCCTCCCCAACATTGTCAACCAACATTGTCAAAGAGTGTGTCGTATCCAAACACGTGTTTGGCGGACTTGACGCCACTTGTTCACGATGCGGATACGTTTGCGAGGGGCATTAAAAGTTGGGCCATGAGCTGGGGGCATTTGCGCCTATCTCTGTCGCCACCCGCAGATGGACAGGGTGTTGATTGGCCCCAAGCCTCGTGCTGCTGGATGAGCACGGGGACCCGGTTGACAAACGTGAAGAGATGGTGAGGTAGTTTTTATTGGTCGCCCTCGTAGACGCAAGCAACGGAAGAGAGTGTGCACCCGGGTGCATCACAAGCACCGAGGTACACGAGCAACGGTCGCACGAAATTCACCGCAGTAAAGACGCATTCGGAACTCGGAAAACGCGACAGCGGAACACGTGTAAAAATGCTAAAGATACGACCGGAGATACCCCGAAGATCCAAGACCGATGAACGGCCGCGTACTTGCGCACTTGCATTGCTCAGCCATGCATGAGTACTACCGCAGTAGCCTTCGTGAGGATGGCATAATCCACCTCACGAACACCCTTCCTGATTCTGTACATCGTCACGAATGGTCTCAAAACCAAAGTGTTCAGGGCACTCCAAGAGAAAACAAAACAAACGACCACAGGGTCAAAACCCACCACCCCTAAGGTCATACTGCTGGTTGACTAGTCACCCCAATAATCGACACAGCAGTCACCAAATTGCAAACCTACTCGTTTACACTGTATCAGGCATTTATTTACTATTACTCCTTCTCGAGCAGCTCCCTCCCAGCAACATGACCCCTACTTTTTCAAGCTGCTGTCGTCACCGGGGTGCGCCTCCAACCCCAAGCACCAAAGGCAATTCGCAGCGGAAAAACGTGAACCAACGCTACATCGCTCTTCAATGACAGCTGACAAACGTCAATCAACCAAATCGTAGGGAAGGCTGCCCCCCTCAACCTGTACATCAGTGGAAGACCAAAGCAGTGTCTCAATCAAAACAGCGCGTCAACCAACTTGTCGATACCTGCAAAAAATGAGAGACGCTGGTCGCCATCTATCACGAAAGTGGCCTTAGCCCTCCCTGATTTCAGGCAAATAACCCGGCCTCAAGTCGGTACGACAAAGGCTGACAAGTAATTCTGAACATCATCAATCAAATTCATGTGGTCGCACTCGCCCGCGGATCATCATTCCTCAGTATGAGACAACAGCGGAATACCACACCATCAGTATTTCATCGTGCAAGGAGCCTCATTTCTCAACCTGCGCGGCTGGTTACTGAGATGAGCATGGTATACCGGACAAGCAACATCGAGTTTCGTCGACTTCGTGCGTATCCCGATCAAAACGCAAGAAAAACAACAGGCGAAGCAGAAGAATGGCACACCAGAAAAAATTCCCACCTCGTCGTACTTTCAACTGGCCCATCGCCAGAAACGGCTCTTTACAGGAAAATGCCGCCAAGTCAAATTGCACACAAGACGCTCAACGGGAGGGACGTTGGTGCACCACGGAGAAAATAGATCTAGATAGCATCAGAGTGCTCCGTATGCAACATCCAACTCGACAGCACCAAGTCCAACTTAACTGCGGTGACTGCAGTCTCACTCGTGAATCTCGATGGGCAGCTCTTCACGTTGTGCCCCCTCTTCCCGCACTTCTGGCAAAGCTTCTCTGGGCATTCACTCACATCGTGGTTCCCATCACAGATGTAGCACCTGGCTAGCTTCTTGTCGTTGGCCAAGTGTGCCTCTTCGTCCCATCCTGTCTGCGTCGACCTGCTTTTCCCTCTCCCCTCCCCCCCCCCCCCCCCCC